GGCTCACAACTTGTAAGGGTACTTTATTGATCCCAATTTGGAAATGTTTGCGTTGCAGCAGCATACAAAAACAAGGCATTGCACATACTGTAAGTAGAAATTAAACAGCATTAAAAAAGTTGAAAATATACAAGTTGACCATGAAGATAAAAACATCTATAAACTGTCTCACAAATAAAATAAAACACTATTGAACTGTCAGCGCAGTCTCAGAAAGGGTGGTCCCAAAAGTAGATATTCTTGTCTTGTACTCCCACAATACCACAATGACAAGGATGTGTGTGTTTAGGGAGTGTGTGTCCGATACATGTGTGTTTGTTTTCATCACGTTGTGTGGCTTACATTATGTTGGCAGAGTTTCGGAAAGGATTGTCCCCTAAAACACCACAAAGACAACTACAAGTTGTTTACTAGAGATATTTTATTTGTGTATATTTGTTAAGACTTTTTGTTACCAGAAAGAGCCGTAAGCTGAACTGAAGTTGTTGAGAAACAAATAGATAGAGTATAAGGACCGATAGTGTGATAGAATTGAGAGTCTACAAAAAATTCCCTTTCTGTCTCACGCTGCTTTGGAACAGCAGCAGCTAATAACAATTTCCAGAAGTCAGAAAGAATACACCATTGGTTTGAAATCTTGCCTGTCAGTCAGAACACTGATCCTCTGACTGCCTGGTGATACGAGAGAAAGATAGAGGCAAAGAGCCGGGAAGATGGGAAGATAGATAGACGCAGAGAGACCGCTCACCCACACAGCAGCTGCATCTCCCATACACACTTAGTATTCCCGTCAGGCTCGACAAAGTTAACTACTACACACAGAGACACACACACACTGTGTCTCCAGTGTCTCCACCGTAAACAACTCCCCCCCTCTCATCTACCAGCCTCTCTGGGTAGAGGCAGGGTAATAAATTGGCCTTACATTTATTAACTTTGCTTCTCGCAACCTCTTGAGGTGTAATCCATTAGCATGCGCGAAGACGAGGCAGCACTCTTCACAGTGCAAACCCTGAGCAGCCAGTCCTCTAAATGGACTGTAAATAGCCACGATAGGGCCAATTTTGAGGAAACACAAGTCACTGGTGCTCTGGGAACTGATCTTATACCCATGGTGGCTATTTGTAAGATATACACTACACTTACAATGGCAATCTCTGACAGGCCTATCAAAGATGTTGAAATGTGAGGCAATATTACTCCTGAGACCTTAAGGGATTTGATATCCCAGTTATTCTTTCATTACATATGTACGTCGGTTTGTGTTCACAGAAGCAAACTGTTAGATATGGTCAATTACTGAATATGAACATCAGGTATATGCACGCCTATTAGCCTACTATTGATGTAGTTTACAAAACATGGTACTGTATGTCTCTTTATCAAGGTGCAATATTGTAATAATTCATGCATAATCCTTACATATGACCTTTTTTAATTGGTGAATCAGCAAAATGTGTGGAAGCAGTGGGTCTCAACAAAGACTTCAGTCATTCGGTAGAAATTCAACAGTAGGTTCCTACAATCAAATGATGCATTTATGATTAAAGCCAGAGAGAGAATAAGATAAAGAAAAGGATAACGCAGACGGACAGGTATTTAGTTAGCCCTTCATACAGACAGACAGAGATGGAGTGGAAGCAGGTGTGTTTAGTCTTGTGGAGAGATCCAGCCTAGAGGCTCACACCATCCATCATCCACTAACATTCATCTTCCCTGCTCTTTAACGTCAGTTTAAAGCCAGCTCCATTCACACACACACATACCCAGGCAAGCACAACGAAAGGTGCATCTGTAGAAACAAAATGGTAACTTGTACTATTTTATGACAAAGTGAATGAAACTAATTTAGCCACAGAAGTTTTGAAACACTGAACAATAAACTTTATTCACTTTGCCTCCAGTTTGCCATGCATCTCCAAAATATTTTCTGACGATTTGACACTGCAGGTTGATGTCACATTGCAGTGACATTGTTCATCAATTGACATCATCAGTTTTGAGCATTGTAAGATGATTTGATGGCTATCCTCTCATGTGTGTATGTGACAGCTGTCATTTAGTGAGGTGTGTTGTTGTGTGTCTTTCACATGCCGGACTAGCCACCAATTTTGTCATGACCAGGCTGAAAACCACAACAAACAGAACATTAGTTATTTGAAACAACAAACAACTAAGACACCGCTCCCACAGGGAAGAGAGACCATGAGAGACTGGACTGGCCGTCGGCTCTAAAGGCCACAAGGAGACTGGCCATGTGGTCCGAGTTGCTCGATGATAAGGCCACACCTAACAGGCCCTGAGGGGAACACACAAACACAACAGACACGCAACAACAGGCTCTGCTAAACTGGGAGGGCAGGCGCAATAAGATAAGATAGGAGAGACCTTTATCGATCCCCGTTGGGAAATTCAGGTTTTAAAGCGGCAAAAGGATAAGAGTGAAACACAGGACAGAACAGATAAGAATCCACACAAGTATAATAAGAACAACAATTAGAGTACACATGTTAAATACAGTATGTTTTACCTCATATAACACCAATATGAGGTAAAACACTGATCACTGAATGTACACATAGGTATGAGTGAAGGTAATGTGCAGAAGCATCATGTATAAGCGTTACACTGTTGCTTTTTAACTCAATTCCTAAGAGAATATTAATATTCTACTGTCATTTCTGATATCAAAATACAACTTAAAATAGGCCTTGTAGAATATTTCAACTCTTTAAACAGGTAATTTTGTTTCCATCTCGTCAGAAAACAAAACAAAGCTGAATGTAATATGATCTTAAATGGCATAATGTAGCAGAAAATAAATGTACATTAGCAGTCCCTTGGAAGGGATTTAGTTCAAAAGCCAAAGTGACAGGCGTCAGTGTCGGCAGCTGCTGCAGTAATCATCTTTGATGAAGACAAATGGCCCAACATGTGAAGGAGGCCAATCTGGGACTGACAAGCACGTTAGATACGTACACTTACTGGTGACAGCCCGTCATGGAGGAAGAAAAGAGGAAAAGACAGGAGCAGTGAAGGAGTGAAAAGAGCTGGAATAAAGGAAAGCACACGCCTCTTCAGGTGGTGACAGGCCATCAGAAAGAGAATGACAGAAACGGTGGAACCACTGGAACCTGAAAGTGTCGTCAACACAAAAATGTGAGGGACAGAAAGAGGAGGGCAATGGAAGCACAGAAAGGACTAGAAGGATTAATAGAGAGATATGTTATGACCTGGCCTGATTTAGTGATTTGCAGGTCAAAAGGCATGTTCATTTTACATTCACTTTACATGTACATACACTATGTACATGTATACTTAAACAACGGTGTTAACTGTGTGTCCATACTTTCTATATAAGCGTCTATGTATTCAGGATAAATGATCTAATAAGTGTCTAACACAATAGGTTATTGATCTTGATATTAAGAATGTTTTGTACACATGTGTTTTGAGACTAATCAAGCTGGTCATTGTATTGCATAAAAGGAAAACATAAGAAACCAATAACACGGTCCCATGGTCTCATTGATCATCTTTAAAGACTAGCGTGTGGATACTCTAAGCCTTTAATCCATATTGGTTTAGCATGTTTTGCCCCATTACCCACAGATTGTATATTCTTTAAGTTATTTCTGACCATTATCTTAACCGTCCCATATGATTTGAAACGATTACCGTATTTTCCGGACTATAAGTCAAACAATTTGTCGTTAAGAGAAAAAAGACATATATAAGTCACTTCAGTGTATAAGTCGCATTTATCCACTGAAGTCTTCATCCTCTGTGCCGCTGTTAAACACTTCCGCCCACTCCGGTGTCGATGAAGCAGCATGTCCTGCTCCGGGCTGTCCTCAGACTCTCCATCAGAATCAGCTCCGATTAGACCTCTCTGAATCACAACAGGATGGTGTCGGTCGTCACTGAAGCCCATGCTGTGTCCATTCATCCCACAACATCCTGGAAAGTTACGCGACGCATCCTCCCCGTTCTTATTATACATCCATGAGCCTCCCGGTCGCCGTGACTTTTTTCTTCTTCGGTGGTACAGCAGTTTTCAGTTGTCACGATTGTATTCTATTGGCCGTAGTTTGAGCGCAGTCAGACAACATTCAACATATAAGTCGCTTTTGGAGTATAAGCCGCAGGACCAGCCAGACAGGTAAAAAAAACGCGACTTATAGTCCGGAAAATACGGTACATGGATTCAGGACATTTGTTAACCTGTTAATACACAGTGGTTTTTTTGTGAATTCATTTTCTCAAATTGTAGTTGTCAACTAAATACTATGTTGACAAGCGTCAGAGCTTGTTTGTATGCACCCCAAAAGAGCTTTGAAGAAGGTCTACCTGGCAAAGAGACCCTGTGTTAGACAATAATGGATTAGCTACAATCAATATTTTTGATAACCTGCACGATGATTGGTAAAACTTGACATTAACTAAAACAAATGGCCTCCTGGTAGGAAACTGCCATTATGCTGTCGAAAGTCTCCCCAATTAAAGTTGTAACAAGTTGTTGAGAACTTGCAAAATCACAGTCATATGCTGTGTCTTAATTTGGATACTTCACTTCACTGCCATGCCATGCACTGTGCAAATTTCGACTGGATAGTGTTTTCTCAAATTGCACCCTGCTGGTGTGCCCTCACTGGAAGTGATGATCGTTGCTGTTAGCTAGCTAGCTGACGAGCAGCATTACAGACTGCTGAATTAACTCATAATTAATGATGGCTTATTTTGCCTGTAGTGGTACGTTTACTAAATATTGAAAAAAAAACACACGTATAACTTTTATTTGTGTAGTACTGTGTTAGCCAAAGCAACCATTGTCCCTGCTGGTTATGCAACTTGCATTTCGAAGCCAATATGGCGGTCTTTGAGGGTGAAAAGTATGCCACTTTTTGGAATGTTATTAGTGCACCATCCGTTTGTGTGCTTTTCTTGGAGTGATTACAATTTGCCTAAAGACTGTGTCTGTCTTTCTCTTCTCTCTCCAGGAAACCAAAATCAACTGTGTCCGCCTGGCTAACAAAGGTATGAGCACCCTTCCATTGATACTCAGCTTGCTCTTATTGTACAGACAAAATCATATTACTTATATGTCTAATTTAACCTAATAGCGAATTGACCCCCGGATTAGTGTCAGAATGTTGTATTAGATGAGATAAACACACACACATATCCACAGGTAAACCCACAGACTCTAGGCCAGGCTACTCCACATCCTTACCATGTGATCCTGCATGATAACGTTGCATTGCATTCTCTCTCTCTCCATCTCTTTTCTCCTAACCTGTCTCCTTCATTGCCCTCCTCTGTTGCACATTATCCCACTTTTTCATCAATCCTGCTCTCTCTTTTTTGATCTCATCCTGCATCCGTGTTGCTCATCAGTGTATAAAGTGGAACATCAGGGCCATTACATACCGATTGACCGCCTTCATTAAACCCGATGGATGGAGGCTCAAGCGTTAGCCCCAGAACCCATTTCATCCTATTCTGTTTTGCTTTCCCCATGTCTCCCATCTGTATTTGCTGCTCATCTCCGGCAAATACACCAATTTGTGTGCCAGGCAATGTGCTTTGAAAGCTTTTCAGCTCGCTATTGATTTTCCTCACCTCGTCTCTTTTTTCTATTTTATTTTTTCATCTGCATCAAACATTGATTTGATTTTTCCTCATCTTCTTTCTCTGTTCTGTGTCTTTCGCTCACTTATTATTTCTCATCTGCATCCAGCATTTTATTGCTCATCACTTCTTTATTTCTTGCTCTATCCAATCACCAGGCTGTGTTCTTCTGAGTGGAAAGTATTGTTGGTGGACGTCTACAGTGTGTAGACCCTGCTTTGTGTCCGTCTGCATGTGTGTGTGCTTGGAAAAAGACATGCTTTTAACTTTGTGGCTGTCTTTCATATGACAAAATGCTAACTTCTGAAGCTCTAAATCTACTAGAAATCTAGTTTTTGTAAGTTTTTGATATGTGGGAGGCGCTTTGAGGCAATACAGATGGCTTCTTTTGCAAATGACTAGTATCCCCAATTTATTGCTGAAATCTGCTACTTACTCACTACAGCAGCTGATAATTACCACTTTTCAAATGCAGCAGCAAAATAAGCTTGAGCACTGTTTGGTTAAAAAAAAAATCAGTAATTTGGGAATAATTAAGGTTTAGCCAAATACGCATCTTTCAGAGGCAGAGAATATAAGTTTAATTAACGGTAAGAGCCAAACCACATGCTTTTGGCCAGGTTAGAAACCTTTTAGGTTAACAGAAAAAAGAATAGGGAGATAACATTTGATATCATGTCCTGCCCTATTGCTACTTACTTAAAACAAAAAACGTTCACATTTTATCTAGATTGAACTTTCATTTTCAAGTAGCCTAAGCCATGTTAGCTTATATTACGCTATGTAAGTCTCTGGGCTGCTAAGATGATAATGATGTGCTACCATCTGTTTATACCAGTACCAAGGCTACAGTAAGGCAAGGGTAGTCTACTTTTACAGCACATTTCAACACAAGCCAATTCAAAGGGCTTTACAAAAACATAAAAAGCATTAGATGTACTGTACATTCAAATGGGTGGTGTCAATTGATCCGACAACATTTCAACCACTGTTTTAAATCAGTACATACTCATTAAATTGTGGGTAACCAAAGCAACAAACTTCTATTTGACGCTGCTTTGCCAAATCAAAACGCACAATAAAACAGGCCCAACCATACATGTATCGAAAGTTCAAATGTTTCCTTAATTGCTCATTATAAAAATGTGTTAACACACACAGAGATTTCCTCATTAAGAACATGACTCTAGGAACTTAACTGTTGCAACGCCATAGTTTGGTATAGCAGTATAGACTTGATCATGTATTACTGATTATTTGCAATTCCTTACTGTCTACCTAGCTTAACCAACTGATGTTGAATTCAATCATTGAGATGACTTCTAGACTCTGCATCTGAGAAACAATAGTAGAATATAAAGATTTTATATTGACCTTTTCTTTTATGGCTAATGGTTGACTACAACCCTGTCACCATTCAAGCCATGTACAGCTAAATGAAGCCACATCATTGCCTCAATATATGATATTTGCTAAAGCTACTTTAACCTTTTTTGATCTGATTTCCACTGATCAGATTTAGTCCCTGGGTCATCTGAACTTTTGCAACTGAATCCAGAAGGCCAGATTGTGTCTTTACTCCCACTTTGCCAAGCCACAAAGTTCACATTTGTATTCTTTCAACCATCACCTCATTTATTCCCTCCTACCTTTATTTTGATTAACCCGTCAAGCCAGGCTGACACACTCAACACACTCAAATGATAACCCCCCTACACCACATCTGCCTTCACTGACTTCACATTTTCACCACCAACACATTTATTAGGTAATGGGCCAGTCAAGAAGCTAGTGACGTTTATGTCCTGGCAACAATCATATCCCACTTCACATCTTGAGTGCTAGTTGTAATTGATTCTAATGTTCTAGTGCTGTCTCTCACCACTGCAATTTCTTTCTCCTCTAAGACAGATTGTGCAATTGAAAAGAGCTAAACCTTGATGAAATGGATAAAGAAAAGCTATACGTCCTTTTTTCTTAGACTTTTTCTTCTTTCTTTTCTTTTTCTTTTTCTGTTGTTTGTTTTCTCTCCCTCCCTCTCTCTCTCATGCTGTCTGGCGGGGACGTGCGGCCCTTGGCCTTAGTGGTAATAGGTAGGGGACAAATAACAACGCCGTACATTCTAGTCATCCCAAGCGAAGGTGATTATTGCTTCATAGGCAGAATATTTTCTTCCCTATGTTATATTCTTCATCACAGTACAACCATGAACACGAACAAAACCCGGTTTCATATTGGTTGTCCCCCTCCTTACCCCCCTCCCTTTGATTCTTGAATTTGATCAGTTTTTGCCTCTTTTTCTTTGTTTCTCCTTCTCATCACCATCTTACTGCATTTGTTTGCATGTCTGCTTCGCTTCAAGTGTCGCTGGCTGTGTTTGAACCTCTTCTCTCTCTGCCTTGCATACACACATACACAAGCACAAACACACACAGTGTGAAACCATGCTGTGTCATGCTTAGTTATTAGCCTGAATATGACGACATTAAGCATTGTATACTTCTCATAAAAGGGAAATACTGCAAATCAATCAACAAGAAAACATGAGACTATGATCTTAAATTGTCTTTGGATCCTTTTTATCTCTGGGAGAGACTTAAATGACTATACACAAGCCATTTACTGTAAGCATGGTTTCATTCTTGCATGTTTGATAATCCATGAGTGATTTGTAAAAACAGAAACATATGGCGGATGTCAAAACAACGGCTGATGGTGATTCCCTGTAAATAGCATTAATGGTTACACCCCTTCACACACAGACACACATACCCAACATGCCTATGAGTGATGTGCTTTTACTTCTCTGTCTTAGTTTTTCCTCACTAATATACCATAGCCTTAAACATATGGTGTTTGTCATTAGAATTAATTTAAAATTGTTTGAGATACACATGCGTACACGTAATAATGTGACATTTTGAAAGGCCATCAATGTTACTCTAATACCCACTTTCAGGGGGTTGATTTAAACAAAAATGTGTCCTTGTTGACACACTGCACCTTCACATTATATTCCTTGATGGACATTTCAAATGACTTGTTTCATCCATTGGAGGTTTGGTGGAAGCCAAATCTCGAGAGGCACCAAAAGTTAAGTAATATGGATAATTCCCCCCTTAAACACTTATTGGAACTGTTTATGTGTAATTTTCACTAATTTGTGAGGGCACATATTCAATGTGTATTGTTTATATAGTGGATTGACCCCAAATGCTGGGTTTTGTCCTTAACTGAACTCATTCATACAACAAAAAATACACTGAACCAAAATCAACTGTTTTCTTTCGTTGTGTGTATTAGAAAGGATTGGCCTGACATCTTAAAGAAAATACGCTTCATGTTTATTCCTCTCAATATTCATCAGGATGATATTTAAACATTTGACCTTCATCGCCATACTGTACTGTAAGGCATTTTAATACATAAATGGGTCACATTCTAAAATAAGCTATCAAACCTTTGACAGATGTGACACCAACATTGCAATTCACCAATTCCTGAAATACATTTTAAGACCACAAGACCTTATGAAAATAAAACAAGTGGACAATCTTAGCCTCCACATGTTATTAAAACAGAGAAGCAAACAACTGGATTGTATTGTGCAATGCAGATGCAGTATGTGTCAGCAGAATATGAATGTCATTCAATACAACAATCATAATGTTGACTTAAACAATATGAACACAACACGGAATCAGTCAACAGCAAGAATACTCGTAAACTGCTGTCACAGTTCTTTGTCAATAATATGAGATGACTTCACATGGATACAATAACACGTATTGTCCTGAGGAAAATTGAGGTTGAAGGCCCAGCACAAAGAAGTATGCACAACTGCAGACAATAGTGAAACCCTATATTGAATAATTATAGATTGTATTTATATGAACCACGGTCGCTTACCTCAATGCAGATGCAAGCAAAACAATCTCTGGCCGCAATAAAATGGCATTTCATTGAAATGCTAAGAACCGTACAGATACTTTTTATAACAATGATTTCACAAATTAAGACATATGATATGATTGCATTCATTGTGTTTAGTTTTCTACACTCACTATTTGGTAATAGTCCTGGATAGAACTTACTCTGTAAGTAACATACACCACTTATCTTTTTCACCTTGTCCATTCTCATTCAGCACTTTAGACCTAAGCCATTGAGAGTAGCTACTGTAACTCACTCTTTAACACACTCAATAGACTAAACCCATTACAAGTTAAATGCATTGGTTCTACTTTGACACTCTGAGATTGAGACACTTTCAGTTCAATCAGTATTATCAGTCAATCAGAAAGTGGAATTTGTTGGAGCTTGTTCCCCCGTCAGCAGCCTGTAAGCTCTCCAAAAGTGTTAAATGGGCGATAACCATTACAAATAAGAAAGTTGTGTAAATACATTATATTTTGACTCAATACAACCCTTAACATTTTTGACCAGAACAGATTGATTTGAATGTGAAACAAACACAGCCCGGCTTTTATACCACTCTTCTTCTGTGCGGTGCTAGTCCCACTTCGTTCATCTGCTCTGCTTCAGTCCTTCAGAAACGTACATTGCAACTATTAAGAAAATACAATAAAAAGCTTATCACAAATAGGCACATAGGTACATTGTCCCATCTCCATTAAATAATTGTTTAAAACTGCCGTCAGTTTGTACAGCAATGCCTTAAAACATACTTATATTCTGTACCATGTTGATATGACTTCAGAATAGTATCCTGAACAAAAACAATTGCAGATGTTCTGATTGAACATTCACTCAATTCTGTATTTTTCCATAATGCCATGGCAGTAATATAATCTTGTTAAAGTCAGAAAGCTATCACGATTGGCTGAGAACATAGCAATTCAAGTAATAATATAGTTTCTCAAATATCAATGATAATATTGGCATCCATGTCCTTTAAAAGATCATGTAATCATTTATGAGCTATACTAAGACAGACATGAGTAATGTGACTGAAGCACTGATATTTCTTAGCCAGAGCATTTCTTTAGTTGTATGTTTCTACAGGCTGAAGGTGAATATACATATATATCATCATATTTAATCCATATGATGCCTTTTTTCACATTGTGGCAAAAGTGCAGCAGAAAGCATGCATTAATAAGTGAGACTGCTCCATCTGCAGTGTTGGTATACCCTGCTCGTGTTTATGTTCTATCTCTCTCAGCAGCATCAAACCTACCCCTTGTCATCCATACACTTGTATTATATGTCAACTGCAATTCCCATAACCATTAGTCCTGAGGTGGATTATAATTGGTGTACAGAGTTGTGTTGTAACTGACTCTGGCGCTGTGCAATGCTGATGCAACATGTGGATTCCTATCTGTGTATGTGTGTGTGTGTGATGGGAGTGTGCGTGACTGAACTGCAACATTGAAACGTTGAAGGAAAGAGATCTGAATTATCTTCTACCTCACACACAAACACACACTGTTCTTTACAACCAATCGTTTCCCGTCATCACCGAGTGCTGGCTGCTTGCTGCTTGGTGACTCCGTTTGCTCACTGAATTTGCAACAGATTGAGTCAGACTGTAAAACAGAAACAATCTACTCGTGGGTGTATATATGTCTTTGATGTGACAGAGCACAATACTAGAGGTGGAAATAACATTATTTTTTTAAGGAAAAGTAGCAATACTAATTTTTAAAAACACTCTGTCACAAGATAAGTGCTGCAGCACCCCTCTGTCTGAAACCAGAGCCCAGTCTGCTCTGATTGGTTGGCTGGCCAGCTCTGTTGTGATGGATCAACCAAACAAAGGGGTATCTTCCCTAAGCCTATCACGTACAATGTGTTGGATCGCTAGCCAATAGATGCGCAAGTGTTACCTAGTGATGTCACTATGTACGGAAGTAAACAAAGGAGTCCAATGGAGGTGATTCAGGCAGGCATGAACAAAAACCTATATAACACACTACAGGAAAGGGAGAATCCCAAAAGCATAATAGTGCCTCTATTAATAAAAGTACAAAAGTATTGGCATCAAAATATAGTTAAAATGTACTCGCCATGTGTAGTAGCCCATTCCAGAATCATAATTATCATGCATTATTGTGTTGATCAAAAGTTGTAAAGGTAGAGCTCATTTGCATTAGTTTGTATACTGCTGGATATTCTAATGTCTTTTTATATGTCCATGTTGTTTTTGTTAGTTTACATTTTATAAAAGCTAATATTCTGAATCTATAAAGTAACTAAAGCTCTCAAATAAATGTAATAGAATAACCAATACAACACTGGCTTCCAAAATGTAGTGGAGTAACACAACAATACTCAGATAAAGTATACTTGAGTAAATGTACTAGAAATTCAGCTCAGGTTATACCTGGAGCCTGCTGGGATTGACTGCAAGAGAAAACATCCCAGAGAGGAAAACAAATAAAACCCCAGAGAGCAGACTCGAGAACCAAGAAAGACAGAGTGGCAGAAATTGACTTTAAGAAAGAAAAAGTGTATATCCAGCAGTGGAGACATGTTCAAGGATTTTCCTGCTTTTGGTCTGCTTTTCACAGCATTGTGCATTCAGATAGGTGTACCCTCCTCGCTCTCAGCCAGACAGACGGGAGGCAAATTGCTGTCTTATGCTAAGTTGGCCCTTCCAACTCTGCCATGAATTCTCCATCTGCTCCACAGCGCAGCGACAAAATGTTCAATTGTCCCTGCGTACATCTTAGAGGCCAGGTTGTAAAGTACTCAGAGGCATCTGGATGGAGAGGAAGAAAGAGGGATGGATGGATGGATGGATGGAGGGAGGGAGGGAGAGAGGGAGGGAAAGACATAAGTAAACAGAAAGGGTGTGTATGGTCGGTAGGTCGGTCGGTCGGTCGGTCGGTCGGTCGGTCGGTCGGTCGGTCGGTCGGTCGGTCGGTCGGTCGGTAGGAAGGAAGGAAGGAGCATAGGGTAGGTAGATACATGGGCGTAATTTCCACTGGGGACAGGGGGGACATGTCCCCCCCACTTTTCTAAATCCCGTTTGTGTCCCCCCCCACTTTTCAAATGTGTTTATTTTTTACGCAAGCGGTCCTCGTCACGGAGGAGCGTCTGTGTGTGGCACGAGCGCATTTTGTGAGAGAGAGATAGAAAGAGAGAGAGACAGAGAGAGAGAGACATAGAGAGT